GCATTTGTTATTCCCTCTCTCTAGAAAGGTCTTTTCCTAGCTCTGCACATAGTTAGGACATTCTAAATAATTAAATCTCAGCTCAAATAACTTCTTCTTGAGGTAGCTTTCCCTGATCAACTACAGGGCCTTCACCAATCATTCTAGTTAGTTTCTTCATAGCATTAATCAGCCTGTTTAGTTGTTTATTTACTAATTACTGTCCAACCCTCATGATAATGTAAGCTATGGGCAGAAACCTTGTTTGTCTTGCTCACCTCTCTATATCTGGTACACAGACACTTCATATTTGTTGAGATAATAAATGGACACCTCTGAATGGAGTATTTTGTATAAGTAAATTGCTTTAGGTAACTAAAGTATGTGTTTAAGTATCAACATTTATTTTAACCATTTTGATTACTATCTTTCTCAAACATAATCCAGAAAATAATTTAAACTTTTGCTAATGTCTGAGAAATACCATTATGACCACCTGTTACTGAAGTATTTAGAGTTAGGGATCTGGAATTAAGATTGTAATTGACTCTGACGTCCATAACTCCCCAAATGAAGTGAAACAGAGCCAGTGCATGGCAGTCCTCTGGCCACTGCTATTGGTCCAAAGGTGAGCAGACTGAAGAGACAAATTTATACTCTATGCTTGTAGAATAAATTTCTCTTCTGCCCCCACTGGCTGCTAACAGGGATATAAGTTGCTCAATGCGATGCTAGCAGCTGTTTTGCCAAGCTTAAGGATAAAGAAGAGACTCCAAGAGCTGCAGTAGAGAGGAAGGAAACCCGAGTCTTTGATGACATCATGGAACTGCTCTACCAAAGGGTCCTGGAGCTCACTCTACCTTTTTAAGCAGCTGTACTTTGTTACTTCAATGAAAAAGCATCTTAATATGGAACACTTTACAAAAGAGCTCATTTTCTCTTTTTAAAAAGGTTTTCAATCTACTTTTTTGGAGTGTTCTGTCTCCATGAAAGGTTGTCAGCTATGATTTCTTGCCGTTCTCTGAATGGATATGGTAACGTAATAAATGGAGTTCAGGAATAGGGCATTAAATCTGATCTCTCCTATTTATTATCTGTGGCTCTGGGGGGAAAAATCATTTACGCTCTCTGAGCCTCAGGATTTTTCTTCTTAAAATCAGTGGTATCTGACAGAAACATTGTATTGTCATTACTACATTGCCATTTAATTAACATTTATTACTAACTACCATGATACTTTAATACCACTTTACAATCCTGAGGAGTTGGAAAATTCTTGAGAGAGGGTTATATGTTTTTAATCTTTATATTCCCAGTGCCTACCACACAGTAAGGGCACCATAATTATCTGAATAATGAGTTAATGAAATAATTAATAATATAACCCAGTATATAATCACCATCTGATTATCACCAAATTTCCCAGAACCATACCCATGTATGCAATAAGACATAATTTTTATGTTGGAGATTTTAATTTTCAAACATAACTGTTTGAAAAGTCCTCCAGTAAGATATTTTTCTTAACAGCAGACAAATCTTTAAGTATGTTTTATCCAAGGTTATATTTTCAGACAGACAATGTAATTGTCCATTTAAATCTTACCTGTTAAACCAGTAGGATAAGAACTTGGCACCACTGAAAATGAGGAAGATGCTCCTCCAAAAGGTGTCACCCCCGAGGATCCTCCAAATGGTGTTATGGAAAGACTGCTGAAATTAACCGACGTTCCCTTGGCTGAAGGTTCTGCTCCATAATGGCTGACACTTGTACTGACAGGCTCTGGAGTGTTTTCGGTTCTATATTTAATGGCTGGACTTTTGTTTTCTTTACTTTTAATGCAGCCCATTATCAAATCTACAGAGACGATAAGGCAAATATTTTGAGAATCAGTTAACATACAGGATACTTCAAAAAGATACAATTCAAAAGTTGACTTTAAACAAGGCATCCCCCCCAAATAACATTAACAACAACAACAAACTAGACAGCTGAAAGTGAAGTCTCTTGCCCTCATTTATCTTTATTAAAATTCTACTAAAGCCCCACTCCAATCAAATCATTCTTCAACTCAATCACTTTTAATAGTTCAATGATAACATGCCATAGTATGTTGGGAAAACCATGGCTCTGAAGCTAGAGAGGTCTAAATTTGAATCCTAGCTTCCTAAGTAGTAGAGAGATTTCAGGTGTTGCTTAACCTCCCTGCACCCCAGTGAGTTGAAAAAGTATCATCTACCCAATCACAAAGATGTGGAAACAATCTGAGTGCCCATCAAAAAATGAGTAGATTGATAAAATGTGGTATATCGTGGAGTACTACTCAGCCATACAAAATGGTGAACTAATACCTTTTGTATTAACCTGGATGGAACTGGAAAACCGTTCTAAGTAAAGTCTTAGAAATCCACTATGTATTTTACGCTTGCAGCACATCTCAATTTGGACTAGACACATCATTTCAAGGGTTCAGTAGCTGTATGTCGATGGTGGCTACCATATAGGACAAAGTAGATCTACACCTATTCCCTTCCCTATCAACAGACACACCCCCAATGCTTATCAAATTTGACACCAACCTAACTTTCTAAGCTTTCCAACTTTATCTCCTTCTATTTTCTCATACTTATGCTCACACATACACATGCAATCCTGTTTCCCTCTTACATATGCTCTGTGCTTCTCCATTTTGGGGTGTTTTCTCCTGAAATTGACTCTGTCCAAAATACTCTAAAATCCTCTCCATTCACTGATGATCATCATAAATGTTACTTTTCCATTCAGGCTTTCCCTAAAATTGTACTTCTGTGGAGATTTTTGTTATGAGGCTCTTACTTTATTCCATTTTAATATTGTTTTTTGCTTACTGGCTTAATTCCCAACCCACCTGTAAATTAATGGCAATACATATACCTTCAAAGCAAGAATTGTGCTTTATTCATCTTTTACCCTCTGTATCATCTACCAATGTCACTTGCTTATAGGTTTGCTAATATTACAAAATCTGCATTATTCTATTCACTTTCTACAGAAGCATTAATATAGATTTAATTCATTTACTTTTAAAGGTCATTCTTATTTGTATAGTTTTTCCCTTCCTTTTACATTCAAAAGGAAGTAGGTGAGTGATGACTGCCTCACAGATTCTGAAAGACTGAACATTTATAACTTCAGCTACATAATATTAAAATGTAGCTATAAATGTTAGAATAGATAAAAATGTATCTGTACTGAAAATGTACAGACTTTTTTCCTTGTCATTATTCCCTAAAACAACACAGTATAACAACTATTTACATTGTATTAGGTATAATAATTTAGAGAAGATTTAATGTATACAGGAGGATGTGCATAGGTTATATCAGGGACTTGAGCATCTGGGGATTGTGGTATCCACAGGAAGTCCTGGAACCTATCTCCCATAGATACTGAGGGATGACAGTATACTGAAAATACTGTGAGGTGGGTGGGTGGCTCACTCATATAATCCCAGCACACTTTGGGAGGGTGAGGCTGGAGGATCGCTTGAGCCCAAGAGTTGGAGACGAGCCTGGGAAACATACCAAGACCCTGTCTCTACAAAAAAATAAGAAAACGTATCCAGGTGTGGTGGTGTGCACCTGTAGTCTCAGCTACTCAAGAGGCTGAGGTGGGAGAATCCCTTGAGTCCAGGAAGTCAAGGCTGCAGTGAGCTATGATTGCACCACTGCACTCCAGGCTGGGTGACAGAGTGAGATCCTGGCTCCAAAATAAATAAATAAATAAATAAAATAAAAATCCTATGAGGGATTTATAAGATAAACATATAAAAGGCAATTGCTTCTAAAAGTATTAGAAAAAACTAAAGGTAAGTAGTTTCATAATCTAGAGTTGGAAAAGTCTTTTATAGTATAAAAGTGGAAACTTTAAAGGAAAAGACTAATAGATACAATTATGTAACTTAATGTTTAGGCTTTGGATATTGGTGGTTTTGCAAATTCCTCCTACTGATTTTATTTTTGTAATTTAACATATTTTGTGGATATATATTGATATCCACAATGGGGGTAGGGATACAAAAGTTTATTAAAGGAAAATAGGGAAAACATCTTTGTACTTGCTTGTGCTCTTTCCTGCTCTCTCAATACACACAAAAACGTACACATGTGAATTCTGGTTGACATTCTTAATACAGACAACTCTTATATATGAAAAGAAAAAGATACCACAGGAAACCTATCAAGAGGGAATTCACAGAAGAAATAGGCCAGTTATTATATTAAAATGTATCCAACCTTCCTAGTCTTCTAATAAATACAAATTAAAAGATACTTTTTTTGATTATCAGATTGGAAAATTTTGACTAAATTCTCAAGGCTAAAGGGAGAATTTAACAATCAATATATATCCATAAAATGTTAAATTACAAAAATAAAATCGGTTGGAGGAATTTGCAAACCCACCAGTATCCAAAGCCTAAATATTAAGGAAATATTATTAACTATAACATAAATTAGATTTTGAAAGAATGCCAGTTATGTGAGAAAAAATTACGAGGGAAAGACAGTAACTACTGTAATTTATTTTAAATTTGATAGCAGGTTAGCTATGAAAGACCATGTCAATCCACAACAGTTCCTGTAATTACCCACCCACTTGATTCCACTTTTTTTTTTTTTTTTTTTTTGCATTTCATTGAGTTTTCTTACAGTCCATGTTTGAATTTCTTCTGTCGTCATTTCAATGTTCTTTCAGTTAATGGTATCCATTGCTAGAGAGCTGGTGTTCCATTTTGGGGGTGTCCTTTTTTTTTTTTTTTGAGGTGAGGTCTCGCTCTGTCACCTGGGCTAGAGTGCCAAGGCGACAGCCTAGCAGCTCAGGGCAACCTCAGACTCTTGGGCTCAAGCGATCCTCTTGCCTCAGCCTCTAGAGTAGCTGGTACTATAGGTGAGTAGTCCCTCGCTAATTTTTTCTATTTTTAGTACAGATAGAGTCTTGCTCTTGCTCGGGGCTCAGGCTGGTCTCAAACTTCTAACCTCAAGCGACCCTGGCTCGGCCTCCCAGAGTGCTAGGATTACAGGCATGAAGCACCATGCCCAGCCCCCAGCTTCTTTAATTCCTCATCCTCACCTTCTTCTTTACCCAGTAACCTCCCTGCGAGACAACACTCCTAACTTCAAGTCCTCTTCCTTCAAAAGTCACACCTTTTCCCCCCACGCTATCAAATCTTCCATTATTATACTTAACCTGTCCTCCAGCTGCTTTTTCTTAATCTTACTGTGAGGAGTCTTTGGACTCCTTACATCCACCCACTTACTCTTTCCAATAGCTCCAGGATAGACCATCGTTTTCAGGCTAGTTCCAAAAGCACCCAAGTATCAATGCTTAGGAGCCATCACTGCTGCCCATCTCATTTAGAAATATAACTATTATTGTCAGATGTGATTTCTATTTTTAAGTAAACTCTAGGTACAATGAGTTAAACCAATTTTTATGGGTTGTATTTTTAAAACATTTATATGGGTAAGTCTCTTCCAAGTTCCAGGCTACTGACTCACAGATATGTATTTATTAACAATGTATATGAGACACTGTAAAAGAAGCTGGGGATGACAAGAAATGATCCCTTTTCATTAAAAAAGTCACAAATATATGTAAGAAACAAATACTTTTATAAAATGTGAAAATTGCTAGTGTAAAAAATGCTAGAGTACAGGTATGTACAAAATACCACGGGAATACAACATGAGTTATCAGCTCTGCCTTAAGTGCTTAGGAAAGAAAGTTTTGCAAAGGAAGTCGCATCTGAGCTGGGTCTTGAAGAGCTGGAGATTAGAGGAAGAGAAAATGGGATATTCCCAGGAAGAATGAGAAGTATACAGAGTGGTTCAGATGCTTGAAAAGCATAGTTTATTTGAGGAACAGAAACTTCTCTGTTGTAGGAGTGTCGGGGGCTGTTTGTGAGCATGGTAGGACAGGTAGTTAGAGGTAGAGAAGAATTTATCAAGAGGATTATTTGTTATGCAATAATTTTTAGACTTTATCCAGGGAGAATAATTAGGAAGTTATTCAAGGATTTCTTTTTAGGTCAACAGCCAAAGATATATGTTTTAGAATAACTATGACAAAGGATCATATAGACTGGAAAGAAGAAAATATGATAATAGCAGTTAGATAAGTTATAAAATTATTACAATGACCCATGTGAGAAAAGACAAAAGCAGTGGAGCCAACAATGAGGGGGAAAATGAGAGCTATATAGTAAGTAGAATAATCAAGGTTAAACGATCAGTTGACCATGGGAAGAAGAGACATGAAGAAAAAGGAGTCATTTATTCACTCTACAGCATGTATTGAGTATCTTAAAGCAGTTACTGTCTGTTAAGGGTTGGCTAGCTTCAAAACTTCTAGTTTGAACCAAGTGGAAAGTGACACCATAACTGAGGTAGAAGAGAAAGCAACAGGTTTTTCTGGACCAGTATAGATGTTCGTTTTAGGTGGCTGTTACACATCATGTTGTGATTTCTAGTGGGGGATTGATAATATGTTTAAAGCTCAGGAAAAGATGGAAACCAGAGAAAAATTAAATGAAAATATTTTCACAGTTTAAAAACTGAACCTTTTGAAATAATAAAACTCAACGAAGGTACAGATGTAGAGGCAAGTAAAGAATTAATACAGGACATTCAGCCGGCCTTTTGGGGCGACGGACATTCCGTTCTAGCACCATGGCTCAATTTGTCCGTAACCTTGTGGAGAAGGCCCCGGCGCTGGTGAACGCTGCTGTGGCTTATTCGAAGCCTCAATTGGCCACATTTTGGTACTACACCAAGGTTGAGCTGGTTCCTCCAACCCCTGCTGAGATCCCTAGAGCTTTTCAGAGCCTGAAAAAAATAGTCAATAGTGTTCAAACTGGTAGCTACAAACAGCTTACAGTTAAGGAAGCCATGCTGAATGGTTTGGTGGCCACTGAGGTGTGGATGTGGTATATGTTGGAGAGATCATAGGCAAGCGTGGCATCATTGGCTATGATGTTTGAAGACCAGTCTTTAACATCTGATTATATTTGACTTATTTGAGTATTCTTGGACCATGTGTGATCAGACTGCTATCTGAATAAAATATGTCAAAAATCCAAAAAAAAAAAAATTAATACAATGTTGGAGGACATCTACATACAAAAGGATGGACAAGGAAAGAAATCAGGAAGCAGCAATTAGAGTTGGAAATACTTCTACAAAGATAAAAACATAGTTAGAAAACATAATCAACTTTAAGACAGTACAAGAGATCTATCTGTAGCATTTTTTACCTTAAAAGAAATATAAAGCAAATAGAGAAAAATGTTAATGTGTTAATTATGGATAATGAATATTTTTGAAGTATTTTATAATTTAATAAATTTTTAATAAGAAGTAAAATAGCATAGTGGGAATAAAAAATGGACTTTCAGGAAGAAAATGGCTTATAGTGTTAAAGACCAAAATGAAGTCCAGTGGCATTTCAGCTGCTTTTAAAAGGCCAGCTGATTAGTAATTAGGAACTGACTGGTGACTTCAACAAGAGCTTTTATTAATGTCATGAAGACAAAAGCTAGACTGCAGTAAGTTGAAGAATAAATTAATGAGTTTGGTACATAACATCTTTGTAAGTTAGGAACACACAGTTATTATCAAGTTGTTTTCTGTCATTTCTTTGTCTAGTTCACTGATCCTCTCCTTCACAGTCTTAGTGTAACCTATTACAGCAGAAACTTGGTTACTCAACAGCCATTCTCCCTCTTCTTCGATGAAAGAACTCTGATTTTGTTTACCCTCCTTCCATTTGGCAAGTCCTTTGGGGAAGGCTGGGTACCTGTCCAGCCCTAGGTAGTAAATACTGACTTATTTAAGCCACTTACTCAGTCTTATATTTCTGTTGTCAGTTAGCTGATTGAGCCCTGAGCATGGGCTTCTAGGAGGTTTTCCTCAATTTGTAAAAAGGAATATGATAGGAATATTATCTTTTCCTTCCATAGATGTTATCATCTAAGATGCCTAAATCTGGGGCAGTGATCCAGATATCACCAAGGACCCTTCAGAGGGGAGTACACCAATGTACTGAAAATCAGAGGGCAGAAAGACAGAAGGAACTTAGGTCCTTGATAATGTTGCTCAAGTATTAAATTATATTAACGCTAAAACACACTTTAGCTTCAGAAATCTTATGTGAGATAAATGCCTACTGTATAAGCCAGTTTTAGTTTGGTTCAGCGTTACTTACAGCTGAAAGGATCTTAAATATTAATAATATATTATTCAAATCACATGACAATGGTTAATACATTAAATCCCTTTTTAACATGTCAGGATTCAATAGCTGAACAAAAATAACAAAAATCCCAAACTTGCTGGGTGTGGTCACTTCATGCCTGTAATCCCAACCCTCTGGGAGGCCAAGGCAGGAGGACTGCTTGAGGCCAAGAGTTTGAGACCAGCCTGTGCAACCAGCAAGACCCTGTCTCTACAAAAAATAGAAAAATTAGCTGGGCGTGGTGGTGTGTGCCTACAGCCCTAGCTACTTGCCCAGGCTGAGGCAGGAGGATCACTTGAGCCCAGGAGTTTGAGGTTGCTGTGAGCTATGAAGATGCCACTATGCTCTAGCCCATAACCCAGGCAACAGAGTGAGACTCTGTCTCAAAATATTTGTTCCACTGTCTTATATGTCTATCCTTATGCCAATTATCACACTGCAGCTATACAGTAAGTCTTGAAATTAGATACCTGTAAGTCCTCCAGTTTTTTTTCTTCTTTTTCAAGATTGCTTTGGATACTCTAGGGCAGTGGTCAGTAAATTTTTTCTGTAAAATATGTTAAGCTTTGTGGACCATATGGTCTCTGTAACAACTACTCCACTCTGTCATTTTATTGCAAAAGCAGCTATAGACTATACACAAACACATTAAGTGTGGCAGTGTTAAAATAAAACAATTTCCAAAAACAGGCAGTGGGCCAGATTTGGCCTGCAAGTCGCAGTTTGCCAAACCATTCAATAGGGTCTTTGCATTTCTATACAAATTTTAGAATTAATTTGTCAATATCTACCAAAATGTCTGCTAGGATTTTGATTGGGATTATTCTAAATCTACAGATCAATTTGAGGAGAACTGACATCTTAAAAATATTTACCTCCTGATCCATGAATGTGGTATTTCATTTATTTAGGACTTTAAAGACTTTTATTGTTTTCAGTGTGGAGGTCTTGTCCAATTTTTGTTAAATTTGTCACTAGGCATTTCATGTTTTTTTTTTGAGACAGCGTCTCACTCTGTTGCCCTGGCTAGAGTGAGTGCCATGACATCAGCCTAGCTCACAGCAACCTCAAACGATCCTCCTGCCTCAGCCTCCCGAGTAGCTGGGACTACAGGCATGTGCCACCATGCCCGGCTAATTTTTTCTATATGTATTACTTGGCCAATTAATTTCTTCCTATTTATAGTAGAGACGGGGTCTCGCTCTTGCTCAGGCTGGTTTCAAACTCCTGAGCTCGAGCAATCCTCCCGCCTCGGCCTCCCAGAGTGCTAGGATTACAGGCGTGAGCCACCGCGCCCGGCCTCATGGTTTTTTTGATGTCATTATAAATGACGTTATTTTATCTCTATTTCTAATTATTCATTGCTAATATATACAGATGTGGGGCATAATAACATTTCAGTCAAGGATGGACTACATATATGATCATGGTCCCATAAAATTATAATACCACATTTTTACTATATCTTTTCTATGTTTAGATCCACAAATACTACTGTGATACAACTGCCTACAGTATTCAATACAGTAACATGCTGTATAGGTTTTTAGCCTGGGGCAATAGGCTATACTATATAGCCTAGGTATATCATAGGCTATACCATCTAGGTCGGAGTAAGTATAATCTATGATATTCACACAATGAAGAAATGGTCTAATGATGTATTTCTCAGAACGTATCCCCATCTTTAAAGTGATGCGTGACCGTATACACACCTGGTATTTGTATACTGACTTTATTCTTGTGACCCTGCTAAACTCACTTATCAGTTCTAGTAGCTTTTTTTTATGGGTTCTGTAGTATTTTCTACATTTAAGATCATATATACAAATAAAAACTGTTTTACTCTTTCCTTTCCTATGTATTTTTCTTACCCTGACTTTACTGCACTGACTTTTAATCTAGTTTAGCCCCACCCTCTCCATGGCCCAAGGCCCTTTGAAGGTTTCCACTAAATGTCCTGATTATTAACAAAGACTTTCCCCTCTAGCTAATAAAACCTCCAGTACAATGCTGAATAGAAGTGATAAGAAACAACACCTTTGCTTAGATTCCCGATCTTAAGGAGAAAGCATTCACCATTAAGTATGACATTAGCTGTAGGATTTTTTGTAGCTGACCTTCATCAGGCAAAGGAAAGTTCCCTTCTATTATAATTCTTTGTTTGCTGAGTTTTATCATAAATGGGTGTTAAATTTTGTCAAAAGCTTTTCTACATGTAAGAGATGATCATATAGGTTTTTCTTCTCTATGAAGGTGGTCATTAAGGAATAAATATTTTATGTGTTATATAAACTGAAGTACAAATTTATTTTGGAAATTAATTTGTTGATATAATGAATTATATAAATTGATTTTTGAATGTTAAATCAACCATGGCACCTTTGCATTCTTGGGATAAAACTCATTTGGGTATGGTATATTGCCTTTTTAATATATTCCTGAAAGCCAATATTTTGTTAAATATTTTTATGACTATGATCGAGAGGTGTATTATTTTTTAGTTTTATTTTCTTGTAATTTCTGAATTTGCTTTTGGTATGAGGGTAATGTTAACTTCATAAAATGAGCTGGGAAGTGTTCTCTTTCTCCTCTATTTCTTTTAAAAAGTTTAAGATTGGTATTACTTCTTCCTTAAATGTTCAAATGAATTCACCAGTGAAGCTATCTGGGCCTGGAGTTTTCAATTACAAATTCATTATCTTTAATATATAGGGCTAGTAATATTCTTGATTTTTTTCTTATGTTACATTGGTAACTCCAATCTTTTAAGGATTTTTTATCTAGTTTAGCCCCACCCTCTCCATGGCCCAGGGCCCTCTGGTGGTTTTCACTAAATGTCCTGAGTGATTAACAAGGACTTTCCCCTATAGCTAATAAAAACTCAAATTCCTCCCCATCCCTCTGTGACCTCTGATATTTGTCAGCTCACACCAACCTGGTCATTCCTTGTCTGGCTTTATAGTTTTACTCTACACATGTAGAGCATCTACATTCTAGAATTCAGCAAAAAGTCAAAGAGACTTCTATGTACACTTTTAGCATTATTTTTTGACATAGTGTCCTTCTGCTGGAACGTTGCCCCACAACTTCCAGCTGCCTACACTTCCATAAATTCTTATCTCTATCTCTTCAACTGAGTAAGACCACAGTTCTTTGTTCAAGATTCCTTGTCCTTGCTGCGCAATTTGGAATGTGCCTCCAGGAAGAAAGCTGGGGTGGTCAGGTGGCTGAACAGCTCACCTTGTTTCCCCTTTTCTCAGGGACCAGAGTCCTGCTTTGCTGTTGTCCAATGTCTAAAAAACATTGTTTGGTTTATTTTGTCCAGACTTTCAAAGTGGTTTTTTTTTGTGGCTTTCTTTTTTTTGGTGGGGGTGGTTAGAAATGATAAATCCATCATGATCACTTAAAATGTTCTAGAAACTTAGAACCTAGAAAAACATTTCATTCTTTGGTTTTAATATCATTACAGTGCAAAGGGTATTAATTTCCAAAATAAATTTGTACTTCAGTTTATATAACAGATAAAATATTTATTCCTTAATGACCACCTTCAAATAAACATTTTTGTGTTTTATTATAATCTGTTGAAGTACTCTGGGGCATTTTTCTTTTGTATAATTTCAAGAAAGAAAACATTTTAAAAAGTCTTATGGATTATATGTGCTTGGTAAATCTAAATTCTTTACTTGGTTTAATGTTAGGCTCTTTTGGACTGAAGAAGGAGTTTTATCATAAAGATAAAAATGGTAATAAGGAAGAGGCAAGAATCTCATAAAAATCAGAAACTACTGATCAAATGGATTAATCCCTGTATCACGTTAAAGTTTGAATGCAGGTCCTGATACGAAATAATC